GCTGCATGTGGCCCATGGCCTTTGCTCATGGTATGGTATGTTAGCCTCTCCATGCTGTGGTGCTTTGCTACAGTGCAGAGCTATGACACTTTGCCTTCTTCAGCACCAAAGGTCTGTGAGTAAGCAATGGGAAGGAGGGGAGGTCTGCATCACTGGTTTGTATTTGTCTTTAGCTGATGCTGTTTTCCATTTTCTACTGGGAACAATCCATATCCCTATGGCTATAGTCCCAGTGGAGCAATTACTCAGAGACAGGGAATCTCTGAGCTACAGCAGAGGTAAGGAGACTGCAACAGGGAGATGTGGTCTTCTAAATGCCATCTTGTATCTCTGAAGTGCCTTGATAGTCTTTCCAAATTAGAAGCACACCACATAACAAAATCATTTGGAACAATTCCATTAAAGAAAGATTATCTTTTCTCATCTATTTTCTCTGGTTCGCTGAAGAACTTAATCTACACTTCAGTGTGGCAATAGTTCTCAGACCATTATTGCTCAGATACACTACTGCTTTCACAGGGTCCTCAACTACTAGAGGATGAATAATTTTTTAATATAAAGATTCGTGGAAAAGTAATTTAATTACTTTTTGCAAATAAAACACAATCAGAAAGAGAATATTTTTCTCCTGTTGATGAGGGTCCTGATTTTTGGATAATCACAATGAAGACAGCCTAGATTATGGAGCTGCACTGGGTGGGTAAGAACATAAAATTTGATTATCTGAACTTAGCCCAATTTTCTGTTAACTTATTAAAAAGATCTGATTGTTTATTACTGACCCTGTATTTTAATATTTAAGCCATTTACCAGAAAAGTTGGATAAATTATTTCTAGGTTTTAGCGTGAAATATTCTTTCTAGCAATTAATTCTGCAGTCACAAGATACTGTTTCTTCTTTCTCACTGCATGACTGAAACTTTGGAAACATGAGAACAGAGAATAGGAAATAAGAGAGTTTCTGATGCAAATATTCAGAATAGCTGTTGTAAAACAATTAGTTGGTTATTCACAAACAAATAGGAAGAATTAAGATACTATAGTTAATTAATTCTGTGCTTGCAGACACAAGTATAATTCTGAAATGTCCTTGTGTCCTACGGTCAGCTGTAGGTCTCAGTAAGTAAAGACTGCTTACCATTTTCCCTCAGTTTCCACTGTGCTTCCAGAAAGGCAGCAAAGGAAAATAATGAAAGTAAGGAAAATAGTAGGCGATACATCTGTAAAGAAAAAATAAATTACTTAACTTCACTGAGGATTGTTAGGTGTTAGAGCTCAGTGCTGGACAGGGTAAGAGGACGGAGTCAGTACCAGTGAACTGAGAAACATCTCCTTTTCTAAGAACTCTTAGACTACAGAAAAATTAAATATCAGGTTTGTACTGGAGCTTGAGCCAAGACTTTGATCCAGTTGTTAATCACACTGCAAAACAGACTAGAGGAGAAAACATAGAACCTAGGGGGGATTGTTGTGTGCATAGGTCTTATATGGTGAGGAGCTCAAAAGCATCCCCAGGTCCTGCCATTAAACATTCCTCATGCAAGGAAAGTCCTGCTGATGCCAGTGAAGCTAGTTATATGAACAAGGCACTGAACTAAAGGATCAATGGATATTAAATTGCAGACATACAAAGCTTATAAATATATTCCTTGGTTTAAGCACATTAATAGTTCTATTAAAGCAAAGGACTGCAAATAAAATGGAGGACCTGCTCCAGTGTCCTACTGGGTTGTAGAATCACCATCTCTGTGAGAACAAGTGACAGCAGTGCCAATAGTGTAGTGTAGAGCTGGTGTCAGTACTGATGCTTGTCTAACCAGGACTAGTATCACTAGTATCTACCTGAGGTTACATAGTCTAATTAATTTTGCAAGCAATTCCAGGCAAAATTCCTACTGTATGTAGTGCCACAGCTGCATTTACCAAAATCACTGGATATTGTGAATCATTGTGTTCACTTGAGTCACACACATATACCCCACTTGAGAATATAGAACTGTATATACACTATATAAATGTATAATTGTCCTGGATTCAAAATACAGCTGGAGCACTTCATAAAACACAAACCATATTTGCCAAACACTGTAGTAACCATGGGCTGCATAAAAGACTCTAACAACAGTGATTTAGATACACAGTCAGACATTTTTCAACTGGAGATTAAGCTGAATGAATAGGAGTATGACTTAGAAAAAGAAATTGGTGATTATATCTTTCAAAGATTATTCTGACTACAGTAGGAGTCTAAATGGACGTGAAAAACACAAAATTAAGTGGTTTAGGGTGTTTTTCTTCCCAGTCTTTCTTGGTGAAAGGGGAGTAGTCCTACTGATTTATTCTCATATGGTATGAAAAGTTTTCATTTTGTGGAGGAACAGTGTGTGTGTATTCCTGTGTGCACTACATTTGTTACTGGCAGTTCCTGCTGTTATTAGCAGTTCTTAATCTTGATCTGAAGTCAGCTATCTCTGGGCCAGTGCCAAGGAAGTCTGCCATCTGACTTTGTACACCACACAGCACAGCTATTAATGAGACCAGAAGCTACAAGTATAGTCTCCAGAGAGAGGCTCTAGGAGAGGAATTAGCTTGTTTTGTGTCTGTACTCTGAGAGAAGCAAGACCTTCATCAAATCAGTATCTGAAATATCAACTAAGACTTGGAGGAAGAGAAGGATGTCTTCTTCTCCTTACCAACCTTTCATCAAAACTGAAACCTTGAAAACAGAAAAGTTTCTCCTGGTTTTAGGAAGAAGCTTCACAATTCAGGGTTTTTTTTTATTTAAAAAGTTAACAAATTCTATGTAAAACAACACAATTTTTGAGATGGGGGGAGAACATCCCCTCCCCCAGTCTCAAAATCTTACTGAAAAATTAATCAGAAATAAACTCCATTTCTGAACATCACTAATCAGTGCCGTTGCCCAAGCAGTTAATAAATTAGGAGAATGTCCCATCATCATATGTTCCCTGTAATCTGGAGCGTGAGCTGCTGTAAATCAGCACAGACTCCTTTGTGAGAATCACAGAATAATCTATGTCTGAAAGGACCTCTGGACATCACCTGGACCAAGCCCAGCTCAAGACACAGCCAAGTCAAGGGTCTTATATTCTTTTTTAAACAGAAAACTGCCTGACCATAAATTCCTATTTGTCCATGCACACACCCCAGCAACATGAATACTGGTAAGATGCAAAAGACATCTTATAACATTAACTGTTTTGTTAGCTAGGTAACAATTCTATGAGATAGATAGAAATATGTAGACTATGTACTTAACTTCAGGCACATCAGCATATAACTGCTGTCCTGAGAAAAATGTCATGACAGCTGTTTAAGTACATTTTAAATTAAATAATTCTAAGCTTTCATTAGGTTCACTTAAAGCAGCTGGTATCAGATTTGTGTTGCCTCAGTGCTAGAGAAGAAAAGAATTCTCACCTTTTTCTGTGATGCTTGGTAGCTGAAGTTGCTGGGCAGGTTGGGTTTGTGATCTGAAGGAAGCAAAGCACCAGCTGCCTTATAAATAGCTCTAAACTCCGAGAGGAAAGGGATGCTCCGTTTCACCGCAATACCACAGAATTGCAACACGTGGCTCGAGTTCCTTTTTTACATAGTGGCAGAGCTAAAGCAGAAAAAAAAAAGTTTGGGACTCCCAGGTAAACTTTAAAGAGGAAATGAGATTATGAGATTGTTACAATGACCTTTATGATATACCAGAGGCATTTCCTTTCCTGCCTGATTTTCTGTCTCTCTCATCTTGCCTGCTCATCATCTGAGGAAGAGCAAATACAGACCAAATAAACTTCCAAAATGGTCTGATGGGAAATAAATTATGAAGACAGAAAGAGAAAGTTAAATAAATTCAATCTAGTTCTACCTGGTAAGCATGAGAGAGATAATTACATAAAATAAAATCCCAGATACCACATCATTCAGATGTAGAACTAAGAGAAATAATTTTGAATTGTTGTTTTAGAATTGTATTTATGCTAAAAAATAGAGGCTTCAGTCAACAAAAAAAAAATAAACAATTAGTTCTGGCTCAGAGATAAAACCCTGAGATTGTCCCATTATGTTAGGTTGCAGATTTAAAATACGATCTATTTAATTTTCTTTATAAACTGATGATCCTTTTAGAGCTGTAGTCAAGCATGAGAGAAGCCCCATACATAACACATACTTCGAAAATGAGGAAAAATTAATTTTTATTTTTTAATTATTTGTGAAATAGAAAACAATTCACTTCATTTGTCAGACAAATGAAAACTGAATAGTTATTCTAGCCCAGTTCCAAACTGGAATAAGATGACTGAAAAGTTATAAACAAGAAGTAAGACATTGCTTATAAAAGGAAAAAAAAAAAAAAAAGGTTTGAAATGCAATGTGATAGGCTTTAGGGCTTCATAAGGAGATACAATCCTGTCCCGTGTGCTTTCTAGTGACTGGAGTGTTCCCAGAGATCAAAGCTATAATGTAGTAACCCAGCAATGAAAAGTTACTGCCTGTCCCTTCTGCTACAGTCAATGGTCTTTCAGAAGTCTTTCACACAGATGAAATCACATAAGCATCTGCAGTATGTTGCATATTTGGTGCCCACAAATAGGGCAAGAACATAAAAGGAGGAATAACCCAAATTAGCAGTGAGACAAATATTATGAACCCCAGCACTTCCCAGTGCAGGGGGTTCATGTTCGTTGTCACACACCTGAGAGGCAGAAAAGCACAGAGGTGGCATTAACACTACAGAGGTGACATGCTGTCATCTGAAGGAGGGTTGTTTCAGGGCTCTAGATTAGCTGTGATGAAAGCTTTACACAAATGTACAGTGTTGCCAGTGGAGTCTTCTCTCCTAGCTATCCTCTTCAAATAAACACTGCTTGAGTAGGATCACATCTGCCTTTGGCAGCTGGACTTTAACTCCCTCCCATCTGACAAAACACAAACCAAAGCAGTGCAATCTCAGTCCAGCCTAACGACTTCCCTGCTGGGTCTGGTGTCCCCAGCCCTGCCTCACACAGCAGCCCCAGACTTCTCTTTGCTAGAGCTCGTGGCCACAGCTGGGCAAGAGCAGAGCCAGCCTCTGGCTGCAGGCTCTGAGCGTGGGTTTCTAAAGCAACTCTGAAATGGCAGCTCTGCCACAAAGAAGCTGCTCCCTTCAGACACCAGATACCACATCTGGAACACAGTGGTCTATTGACTTATTCATGACAAAGAATTGACCTGCAACCTGTGAACTATTCATTTGAGATCCATGTTAATAATGTAACAGATAAGTCAGTGTACTAGACACTTCCAAAATGTTAATTAATACCTATACATCTCCACCCTCCACTTACCCCAAAAAGCTCTAATCTCCTTCCCTGACACAGCCTCACACACACACATTGGAAGGACGTGTGGGCTACAAGCACTTGTATCATCTTTCTCCCTCTCTTACAGGACGATTTGGGACAAGCATCTTCTCAGGCAGTTTTGGGTCCTCCATACACACACACTGTTTATATTCCCACTTCTATCTGAACAGCTGTTCCCCAGGCTGTTCGCCAAAGGTGGGCCATGTAGACACCAACACTTCTGCTGTTGTTTCACTGTTCAGAAGGAGAAAATGGCTGAGGAAGCCTGCTGAGAAACATGTGGCAGAATCAGCTGGGGCACAGGCAAGTGAAAGATACTCAAAGAAAATGGTTCCAGGTGACAAAATTTTCTCCTTCTGATCCTGGTCCCAGACTAGCTTTAAAGTACATGTCAGGAGGAGGCTGTGCACCATGTTGCTGTTCATCTGCTTCTCCCATGGGAAACCTTGTAACAAGAGGAGGGAGGAAGTCTCACAGAACAGTGACACCTCTTTCCACTTGTAGTCTCAGCTTGTTCTAATTGCACTTAGGAAAGCACTTAGGGCAGCTCCCCTTTCACAAATGAGAACGAGCCCAGGCTGAATCAAGCTTAGGCAACACTTTGTTTGCATTTAATACCATTTCCAAAACTCACTTGTGTGATAACACACACGTTCAACAGCAAGCCAGCAATGACCAGGAAAACCAGAGAGCTGTATTCAGTCACTGAGCAGATAAATATGGGCACAAGTCACCTTATGTACATGCTGTACAACCCATCTTAACTTGTCTATTTGCTTATATCAACCACGTATTAAGGCCTTTTTCTTTTACTGTAATGTCACTAATGCATAAACACCTGCCCAATCATGTGCGAGTCTTTA